CGTCGACATATACTCGGGGTTTGTCGTCGGACACGGGGAGAGAAGTTACGACGAACACACGTTGGGCGCGTTGAATTCGGCGATCGAAATTACAGTGCGATTCGTGTCCACAATGGCCGCGATTCCTTGCAAACAGAATCAGAGTCGCCGGTCGTTAATTTGTCCGCCGGACTCTCTCTCTCTCTCTCTTTCTATCTATCTCTCTTTCTCTCTCTCTCTCTCTCGTCGGTTACCGTTACTGCCGGCGCTATTTCGCGGACTCTTCATCCACCCAGTTCGAGTTAACTTCGTCTTCCACTCTATTCAAACAGCGTCCACGCTCAGCCGGTCCGCCTCGCCTACTCATTAGCGTCCTTCCGTCCGTTACTACTAATGCACGAGAGTCAGCCAACAAATTTACACGGCGCCGCTGCCACGGCGCCGTTGCCGGGAGTTACTCATTAGAGCGCCAATGCGCACAATGTAATATTGCAATTCCGCAAACTTCGACGCTAATTACACTCTTCGCAGTCATGCGCGCGCGCGCGAGATGTGACAAAACCCGATGTCAATTGTTAACTCGCCAAATGTTACATCTGTATTTTCGATAAATACAGAGAAATTCATAGTTAATGCGCATTAAAAGTTGTGCGCGTGGTCACACACCATTTTTTTTTTTTTTTCACACGTTTACCTTGAGAGAGAAAAAATAAATTACGTTCGCGATCCCGACGACGTGTTTCTTTCTTTCTCTCTCTCTCTCTCTCTCTCTTTTTTTTCTTTAATATTAATTCCAATACCTGCTCTGTCGCGCTGCGTGCGATGTAAACGACGAAGTTAAAAGGCACGATGAGCGGAGAAACGACATTTTAACGGGTATCTCTCACGGGGTGTGTCATGTTAGGACAGCTCCCTGTCCAGAATGACACACGGTGTTGCCCCCCACCCTCTGGTGGACTCGCGTTAAAGGGGGATCGTTTTGCATTTTTCGCGATGCGGTAAAAAAACAAAAAAACAAAAAAAAAAAAAAGACAAGCGCGCGTGTTGCGCAGCACGTTGCTCTCGGGGCGCTCTCCTCTCCCCGAGTAGCATCCATGTAACATTATTCGCCCGGATACGGAGCTGCTCCGTTTTTCGGGGTACGCGCGCCAGTACATTTAATACCTACAATCTTTTTGTCCGTAACTTCGCATTAATCCGGGAAAACGTAATAAAGCGAGCACGAGTAAACAGAGAAAGAGAGAGAGAGAGAGAGAGAGAGAGAGAGAGAAAGAGAAAGAGAGAGAGAACGACTGGCGGATGGCGCGACGGACTCGCCAAAAACTATCCGCCGGTAGCTGCGGGATATCCGGGCAAAAGTAGGCAGCACCGGGATATATGCAAACGCGACCGTAAGCCCCGCCGGATTAAGCACGGACGTATTTTCAATTCGCGATAGCAATAAGTTCAACCTCGTCCGCTCGTTCGTTACTCACCCGTTCTTTCTTTCCCTTGCGCTCTCTCTCTCTCTCTCTCTCTCTCTCTCTCTCTCTCTCTCTCTCTCTCTGTGTGTTCTCTACCCTTTCTCTTTAACTCCTTTTTGCGTCCCGATCTCGTTAGTATCGTTTTTATTCCGCCATTTCTCCTTTTCCGCTTCTTATCCGAGTCGTATCGAATCCTTTTGCCCGGCAAAATCCTCGAAGAACGATCGCACTTGATACTCATTGACATCCCTTATTGGCGTTATTTAACGTCTGTCTGTGTCTGTCTAACTCCCATCGTCTTACGTACGTGAAGATGCCCACGAGCTGCGCGTTTAATTCTCCTTTATTTTTTTCTATCGCCGAAACAGTAATTACGAGAACCCCGTTACCAGTATCCTCTTTTATAATATCGAATAAATTGCACGCCGATAGTGATAGGATACCGTCCGTTTATATTATCCGGCTCCTTTATCGGTTAATAGTTTATTTTCTTCTTCGACAAGCTCCAATTAAAAATTTATTTAATGAGACGAAATGAAGTTTTTTCTCGCTTCGAGTACGAGCGTCGAAGGGGAAGAGGAAGAGGGATTGGAAAAAGAGATTCATTATACGAAAATTTATACAGAATTCCGAAAGTATATACGTAACGCGCCGGATCAATGCAACACAACACAGATCAATTAAGCGCCTCGTTGTTACGTTTAAACTGCATTCGATATACTTGAATATAAACGTTTATCTTCTGAGTCTACACAAAACACGCACCATTAAAACTGAGGTAACTCAATATATAATTCGATTCTCTTCTCTCAAATAACACATTTTGCATCCTTCTCGTATTCTCTTCGCAGACATGCGCAATCAAACGCGAAGACAATTCAGCAGCAAATGTGCTGCATGTGTGAAATTTGAGCTCGCGCGCGGGATTCGCGCGATAGAAAGATCTGCCGAAAGAATAATAAAAAAAGAGAGAGAGAGAGAGAGAGAGAGAGAGAGAGAAAGAGAGAGAATTATATACGCGTAGATTCGGCTCTCGCGTGCAAAAAACGCATCATCTGTCAAACAGCCATTAGATCATCGGCGTGACGCATTCGCATTCACGACGTACGCCCGGCGGTCATCTAATGGACACCGACGCACTTTTATATTCGCACGACCCTATTCGTCATGACCGGACCCTGCTGTACGTATACAATGCAAACCCGCGAAAAAGCTGACGAACGTTTATACAACGTGAGAAGAATGTTGCTCCCGGTCACGTCTCCCACTCTCTCCCCAGTCCGCACGCGTAACGACGAGGGAGGAAGCAAAAAACGTGCCCGTTGCTTTATTTCGTAATAACGAAATAATAAACATAACAAAGAAAGGGGAACACCGGTAGAAAAAAGAAAAAACAAAAAAACAAAAAAAAAAGGGTTGACCCGCATAATAAGCTTCGTAACAGCAGAGGCGTAGGAAAAAGGAGCGCTAATTTCTGTGACTAGTTCGCGAAGTCTGAAATTAAAATTTTCTCTTACACATGGGCATTGCCAGATATACACGGGGAGAGAAAAATCAAGATCGACTGTAATTAAAAATTTCCTCTCGCGGGAAAAAATGCTTCAGATATGCCGGAGGGAGAAAACTCATTACATAAAACTTATTAGACACATACTGGAGATAATAGAATGCGACGTGTAAACATAAATAATATATATATATATATATATATATATACATTGAAAATGCTTCGAACAGTCGAGATTTAGTGATATAGTTAAACCGGATTGTGAAGATTAGAAATTGAATAGCGTTCAAGGAAGGAATTACGGAGCGTTTACCGCATGAACACAGAATTGCGTGATGCGAATATGCAACACGATTGTACGGGACGGCCGAGTGCCGAGGCTTACGCTGATAATCGTGCTTTTAGCACCGAGATGCCGATTGAACGCTAGAACAGGAACACCAAAGCGAAATTGTGTGTGTGTGTGTGTGTGTGTGTTTGTGTTTGTGTGTGGGTGTAGCCGATAGATTAAGGTAGGCGAAGGTGAAGGTAAATGGTGGACGCGCGGCGGAAGGAAGGAAGAAGCGGAAAATTTTTCATTGGAGTCAAAAGTTCGGCGTACTGAAAGTTTAATTCCAGACTCTATACGGACGGTGTGCCGCTTGAATGAAAAATCTCTCTCTTCCGCCTTCGTCTACACCTCCTTCGCGTTCCGATCTATATCCCCTTCAACCGGAGCCCTTCGTCGTGTCTTCGCACCTCTCCCCCCCCCCCCGCATTTCCCTTCGTAGCGAAGAAAGACGTCCCTTTGCTGAGCGGTCGCCGATTAAATCCGACGGAAGGACCGGGGGAGGTGGTGTGAGGAAACCGGGACTTATTTCGCGGTTGAATCGAGCGACTAATATATTGGCACTTTTATTCGCGCGCGCGCTCGTCGACGTCGGAACGTCAATATCGTCACTTACAGTGTGACGCATTGACGAAAGGCAATTTGGTGTCGCGCATTAAGCGTGTTTACTTCGACTGTGAGATTTTTAAGTACCTGGCATTTGAGAAAAGAACTTTCAACGCGAAGATCTGATATTCAAATCTCATACATCAAACTGACGCTATGTACGAATTATACGTATAATGATTACAATTAATTTTATAAGATTCCAAGAGATATACATTTGGTGATTAAACTCTCTTCCATCTTCAATCAATTGAAATAACAAATAATTGACTAATATTCGAAGATTTTTTTCGAATACTTTTTCAACCCCGACGAAGTGAGCTGAAATGTGTTTACGAAACGTCGGCATAAAAATAACACTAACGCGATTAAAACCCGAAAAACATCTTCGAATGTCAATCAGAACACACCGCGAAAGCATCAAAAATATCAGATTAACTGACTGATACCTTACTCTCTTAAGTAGAATCAGTGCATTGAAAATCAATAAATATTTGACTCAGTGGAAGACTTACAACTATGAATCAGTAAATATATTTACTGATTTTCAGTGCAACGAACTGATTCTACTTAAGAGAGTACGAGAGAGAATTGCGCAAACACACATTTTCGAAGAGACCTAACCCACCAACATCGCGTTGTCGCGACGATTACGATTTCCGCGGTAATATCCTGTGAGATCAAGGCTAAAGATTGATGCTTAACTCCATTTTGTGTTCGCTCACTATTCAATACTTGCTTCAATTAATCAACGTGAAAACGGCGCACATGTACGCCCGGGCTTTAATCTATGAGAGGTGCGGTCCGAGCGAGCGAGCGAGCGAGCGAACGCGCGCCACTGCCCTCCACGAGGAGCTATCAGGGTGTAGGTTTTGCGGCAATACGTTCGGGGTGGTAACTGCAGCGGTACCACTCGTTTAAAACGCATTAGGGCGGCGGGCGCGTCCTCGCTGGTGCAAGTCCGCGGCCATCGCTGTAAGCACCCGCAATTCCGCAGCTGCCGCAATTCTTGTTCGTGCTTTTTGATCAGGCGCCATCAACGAAACCCTCTCTTCCCCCGCCCCCCGCTCTTATTCACGTTCGGATCACTCTTGTGATCGTTTCCTCGCCCTTTCAGTAAGGCCACTGAGCGTGACGATACTCAGCAGCGAGCACACACCCCTGAGCGCCAACAGGACGTACGCCATCACCTGCATAACATTTGGTTCAAGGCCGGCGGCCGCGATATCCTGGTGGATGGACGACATCAAGCTCGTCAATCACACGGACACGGTAAGTCTCTCTTGATTATTGCTAATCAAATCGCGCGACATGGAATCCAAAAGTCTCGTAGAAGAAACATAGAGAAAGAGAGAGAGAGAGAGATTTTACTAAAAATATTTATTTTTTATTTATTTTTTTTTACCTACACATCTCTTCTCTTTCGAGGTAAAATATATCTTCAATTTTTCCAAAGCGGTTGATTTGAGAGCTTGATTTGTCTGAAAAAAAAAATGAAGCTCTCAATTTTGTTAAAATAATTACACACTCTTATTACGTACGCTCTCTTTCCGCGTGCGATCGTTGACAGCTATTCTGATGAGCGTCGAAAAACACGGCACTCGATATTTTTCGTTTCGTACAAAATTGATAAAACGGCGGTGCTCGCGGGCAAAGTTGCCGCGACAACTGTCGTCGTCGGCGGAGTGAGAAAAGAAAAACAAACGACGCGAACCGTAAAATAATTTTCTATTCTCCACTTTCACAGCGAGAGATGCAGCAAACGAGCGAAAGAAGTTTGCAACACAGAAAAATAAAATAAAACACCACTAGTCGCGCGTCTATTTTCGCCGCGCCAGCTAGTTTCGCGTTGCGCTAATGGTATCATCGATACCGGGGGCGATCGATCTCCATTATCGTCTCCTCGTGTTACGCCGATCTTCTATTTGCAATATCGCGTATCTCTCTCTCTCTCTCTCTCTCCGTATTCGAAATTCTCTTATTCGACGGAACTCTCTTATACAACCCCTCGTGTCTCGGGGACGAGTCACGCCAACCTAACTTTCTCGCGAGAATGATTCAACGTCGACAAAAACGCACACGTTCCGGGACTCGGCAAACGCGCGTGCACAAACGATCGACGCGAGTAAAAAAAAAAAACGACGACATTCCATCGAGGGTTAAACAGGGCCACCGGGCCGGTAAGAGAACGAGCCCGAAAAAACAACACTCACGACCCCGCGGCGCCCGAAGACGGGCTTCTCTCCTTCGATCGTTCCCTCCCCCCCCCTCCACGAAATCACTGGCATTAGCGCCGGTATCGGTATTTGCATCGTTGCCATTAAGCTCCCCCTCTGACACGCCATAGCGCAATTACCGGATAGCGCGGCGATGCTTTCGTGATCTCTCGCTCTCGCTCCTGTTTATCGGAACTCTCGATGCCTTCGTTTCTCCCTCTCTCTATCTTTCTCTCTTTCTCTCTCTCTCTCTCTCTCTCTCTTGCTCTTTGATCCCCGCACTAGCTCCGGACGACGAGGAAACTACGGCGTTCTACGTACTCGAACTCTGGCGGACCATCGATCTACGCCCGTCTTGCGTTTCCGCGGCAAACTCTTCCTGAAACGTGATTCTTTGACCCGCCGCCGCCGCCGCCGCCGCCTCCAAATCGCGTTTCGAATCACGATATACAACGCCGCTCGATGTAAGAGTTTTAAAGGGACTCGTTCAGACTGCAAACGCCCGTAATCGAATCGCTCATCGCACGAAGTACACGACTTGGCTCTTTTCATGAACGAAATGATGAAATTCTCCTTTTTTTTTTTTTTTTTAAGAACGATATGGTATAAAAATACTTTATAGCTACTATACACTACGTATAACAGTTTCTTATGCTCGCATAAATATATAAATTCAGTACTGTACGGTCTAGTCGAGCAAATACCCTCGAACTCTTCATTCCTCTCTCTGTCTCTCTCTGTCTCTCTCTCTCTCTCTCTCACTCTCTCTCTGCTCCAATTAATTAATTTAGATGCACATTAAGCTCATGAGATGTATAAACACTGTTTCGAGATGATTGACGTTAAGGGTCCCTGTCTGACCTAAGAACAGGACAAAGTTAGCCTAATTTAGACAGAATATTACACATACAACTATGAAGCGATGGATGTCATCCGTCATCCGTAACCGAACTTGTCGATAGTTTGTGACAGATCCGAATGTTGTGCGAGATAGATACAGTAATGAACAAGATACGGAATTTATGGCGAATACATGATATCGCATATTTCAATGTAATGCTCAACAACTATTTCGCTCTCCCCCGTTCATTTTTATTAAATTGCAAATAAAAAATTATATTCGTCGTAAATCTCTGATTTGTTTTTTTCTTTTACGACACGATAAATAAAATATATTTACTTTCGCACGACTTACTCGAGAGAATGAGCATTAGCCTGACTATAAAATAACGTAATTACAGAAACGCGTGACCGCGAAGGCAGGAATCGTAAAAATGCAGATCACTCGATCGCAGAAATTTGTAGTAAATTATGATAAGAGAAACGGCAAAAGATACATAATCTCTCTCCGCGCGCGGGAATTTCGCTCGGCCATTCTCTCGGCCGGGCTATTCCGTGCATAATCGAGATGCAGTAAAACTTTCCGAATGAAAAATGAGCCCGTCGTGAGAGAGAGAGAGAGAGAGAGAGAGAGAGAGAGAGAGAGAGGGAGAGAGAGAGCTCCGGTTACACCGTTGTACGCGCGGATTTTGCAATAACGCCGGGGCTCGATTGCGCTCGTGCGCGCGCGCGCGCAAGCGCATGAGTGATCGACGATGATCCGGCTGGTGGCCGGTGAGATTCAAAGAGCTGATATTTTCCGCCGCAAATAACGATCACGTTGTTGGCCGGTACCAGGCGGGCGGCATCCAGTTCTGACGCGTTCGCGCTATCTCGCGTTATACGTCATAATATCGCGGTGTCGAATGAAGTTCGGTACCGGTAGACATATCGAGGCACACACCGGTGAAACCGAGAGAGGACCGAGGGAAAAAGCGAGGTTGAAGCGAGACGCGAAACAGAGAGGGGAACTGGGGAGAATGAAAGAGAGGGTGGTGGATTGTGGACAGTATAGTTGGCAGCGGGTGATTCGACTTCGCCGATTTATGACCGCCGCGCGAATTTCGAGCCAATTTCGTTCTGGGCTTCGGCGCGGCCCCCGCTCTACACGTTGCGTACACTGCAATCCAAAAGTTTTCGATCCCATCCGGAGCAAAAACCGCCCCGGGGGGTGTGTCGTATCGTTGCTCGGCGAAGAAATATCGTATCCGTTCGCGCGAAAGATAGCGAGCGCGCGTAAATAGTATCGCATATATAAGATTATTTTACAAAGCGCGGCGCGCGTTGCTTTCTTTTTTCTTTTTAGTTTGATTACGATTAAGCACCGCGCGTATTATCATAGCAGTTTTACTGTGATGAAACGAAATGTTGCACGTGATATTTTTTTTTTGTAACAAGGAATTAACACGATTTTAATCACGCCGCGAAAGAACGGCGCTACGGGGTTGCAATTTTAATATTTTTAATGGAACGAGAGAAATATAGATATAAATCCTTACATGTAAAAAAAGAGAGAGAGAGAGAGAGAGAGAGAGAGAGAGAGAGAGAGAAATAGCCGCGCGCGCGCGCGCGCGGTATCAAAGGAGTGGTCGTGTGGTATGTACGGTTGATAATTACATGTTTTCCGACAAGACACCCAGCAGCCACGCGGTATACATTTGCGTAAATACAGAAGTCGGTTTCGTGCCGCGTTAAAGTTGCATTCGCCTCACACAGAGCGTGGGTGAAAATACTCACGTGAAAGCCAGGTCCTATTACACTCACCTGCGAAGGTGAGTGATAAACGCCTCCTGGACTGACTCGTCCGGTCATTAAGACTTATCGCCGGATTAACGCCTGGCTTATAAGCCCCCAATATACGCCCTTACCTCAAACGCGCGCGATACCCAGCACGAGTACGAATAATTATACCCGGGCTTGTTAAACACACGCCGTCGCCGTCCTTCTGAGATCCGCGAGAATTTTGTTTTTTTTTTCTTTTTTCGCGCGAAAATTGTTTGAAAATTGCAAAGCGCCACTCGTGAAAAAAAAAAAAAAAAAAAAAAAAAACAGCATTTGCACGATATCCTCGTCTTAACCGATTAACGGTGTAATTAGTTCTTTTCTCGCGGAACGCTCGTGTTGAAAATGCACGTTATCACGTTCCTGCATTTATCACATCCGCGATATCTGGCGTCGACGCTGATTAGCGACGAAAACTTCGACAAAACGCTATTGCAAATTAATACCTTACTAGGTATAATGTAAACGAATCCGTAAATAAAATAATATACTCGAAATAGCGCGAATAATAATATAAATGTGAACGTAAATCGGCTATTGTTGCCGATTGCTCATTCATATTTTATTCCCGACCGAATAGCGGATACTTTTATATATTAAATATTATATGGCCAATAATACACAGAGCGCACCGTGATTTAATTACTCCTGCCCACATGATGCACGCAGATAATAAACGTGTGCAAAAAATATCGGTAAAGCAATTAATGAAAGCTGCGTGTATAAGGCGCGTTAAAATACGTAATTATATAACGTCGATATCGACCCGCGCGCGGCAGTAATTTTTCGTGAAAATTCTATACTACGTATAAATCCACAAAAAACGATCCCCCCTCCCCTCTTCCCCCGTATATATATAAAAGAATTTAATGTAAACGCAAAATACGACATGCAATGTAATTATTACAATTTCTCGTCTCGTCTAATCCTCTCTGTGCGATATATGGACGTTGACGTTTTGAGTAGGTGTGAATTAAATCCACGTCACTTCTCGATTATTGCAGGTGTCGCAGGACGGCAACTCGACGAGTTCAAACTTGACGTTTCAGCCTACTCTGCAGCATCACAACAAAGTTATCACGTGCAGAGCCGAGAATATCAAGATCAAACACGGCATGGAGGAGGATGCGTGGAAATTGAATGTGTTTTGTAAGTATTTACGTTGTGTGACGCGATGTGTGAAATATAAATAAATAAATAAATAAATAAAAAAAACAGCGCGCGCGATTGAAGATTTTTCTTTAACAATTGCACAGACCCAGATATTCAATGGGAGCTTCGTCTCTTAATGCGTCTGCAACGCGATCGATGATGCGCGATAATTTTATTTCGTCGATTATTATTTCGGGAACACACGGCGCTTAATCGGGATAAATTATGATTCACTGCAGGTACGACGAATATATGTACATATGTATGTATATATTATATACATACACACACACATATGTAATATAGTATAAAAACTTGGATGGGAGGATAATATCAGATCACAAACCGATGGCCGAGGTAAACCGCGAGTTTACATACCAGTAATGGCAACACGATATGCTCAGCGAAATCCGCAGCATTATTATCGTTGATATCATTATTCATTAACACACCGCCATCAATATTATGCGAGCGAATCAACAACGCTCGATTCAACAGCGTATTACAGGCGTAATAACGTGAGCGAGTGACCGTTTCTCTTTTATCGTTCGCTCTGCGCGATAAAAAAAAATAAAAAAACACATTGAACAAACGATATTTCTCAGCGTAGTAATAAACGCGCGGGTGAATGGTACTCGCGCATTTTATTTCTACGCAACCATAGCGCAAACACCGAATTTACCGGCCGAAAACAACCGTGGTGTCGCGACAGCACATTTTTCTTTTATCCCGTGACAAAAATTTTACTTTAACGAACTCAAACGATCGTCAAACATTTAAGTTAATTTTTCCCCCGTTTATTCCGTAAGATTTGATTTGAGATTAACGTGCGTGGGGGATGATGCGAGTGTTATAATCGGAGGTGCGCGCGAATCGTCAAATTGTCGCGTGTACGTATAGCCGCGAAAAACAAAAAAACAAAAAAAAAAAAACACGTTAGCGGTAATTCATCAAGCCCCTAAACTCATATAAGCGCGCCGCATCGCACGCGTGTCTGACCCTTCGCGCAATCGACACATCGGAAAATCCGCGTGCGCGGCATACGTCAACGCGTTGTGCACGTGTACACATGCGATACGAGAGCCCCCGAGTTCTGCGCCGTCGTCCGTGTGTATATCCAACACGGGTAAACGGGTTAAAAGCCTGGCAGGCCGAAACAAGGCCGTCGATATAGATTACGTTCGCGCAAACGCGAATGTAATCACAATAACGAGACGTCAACGACGGGGGTCCAAAATGGAACGTTCGACGGCGCGGCGGCTGACCAGCGCGACTCGATTTATTCCCGCCCGCTGCTGTTGCCGCTGCCTGCACGGCAGCAGCGTTGCCGCCGCCAGCAGTTCGCGAATTTGAGAGCCCAAGTGCAAACACGCAGCCAAGTTCCGCATTGTTTCTGACGAATAAGCCGAGCGCTTCTCTCCATGAAAAAACGGTTAAATTACAGTCTTCGTCGCGTATGATAAAAATAAATATAAGAAAAATAAATTCAATTTTATAAAATTTAAAACGGCATTTTTTTTTCTTTTAGAGTAAGAGAAAAATATATTAAGTTTGTCTTTTAACGAGAAGAGTCTTAATAACCAACGCTTAAAGAATAAAAAAAACAGATAATTTAAATAAATTTAATTCGCGACTACAAATTTTTACAATTTAAAAATTTTTACAATTATTCTTCTCGAGAAAGAACGTGGTGAACTGTTGCCTAAGTTGAGCGCCAGTCAGTTTTGCTGATAATTTGCGAGATTCAAAGTATGACGAGTGGGAGAAATCACAAATCTTTTTTTTTTTTTGGTTTTTTAATTATCTATGACGCGTTTTTTTCTGATTACAGTTGTTCCTATCTTGCATCTGCAACTTGGCTCGAACATGAATCCGGATGACATCGAGGAAGACGACGACGTGTATTTCGAGTGCAACATCAACGCCAATCCCGACGCTTATAAAGTCGTGTGGAAACACAATGTGAGTTAAAACAAACAATAGTGAGTGCAAACATATTTTTATTACCTCGAACGGAGACACACACTGTGTGTCGTTAGTAAGAGTTTTGAGCAATATAAAAACAAAAAAAAACAAACAAAAAAATTGATATCGGTATAACAATGAAACTTTGTGAGGAATGGATTAACACAGACATAAAAATGCATTGGTCAAACTGGGAAAGCTCCGAACTTGAATTTGAACAATGACCGCTGGATTTTCCTCCAGTGATATATTTCCGCGCTTGAATAGTTCCGACTCTACCTAAAACTGTTCGTTCTCAAAATAATGGCTATTGCAGTCGAAACCGACAAATAGGAAACAAACTTTCTGCATGCTTAGAACCTCTGCTTTAACCCCTCTCCGAATATTACCCAACTTACGGATCGTAACATTCCTCGTTGTGCGCAAACAAAATTACGCAGTTACGCGGAATGGAAGAATCTTCTTCAATATAAATCTTAAAATGTGTATTTATACAAAATTATCTCGATATTCACGTCGTAACGTAAATTTGTTACACGCGAAAAATAAATATCGTATTATCCGCTTTATGTGACCCATATATTGCACACGATGGAATATTGTATTAATTTTCTAACTGTTATATTAGTAATAACGTTATTTTAATTAATTTATAATATTAATTTACAGATTATAATTTATATATCATTTACTGTGCATTTTTATCCTCGTACACGACGATCTTTGATCTTGAACTGTGTGTAAGTGTGCGCGCGTTTCGGTGTTTAAGGTTATATATTTATTCTTTTTTTAAAAAAGAGTACAAGCTACACAATGACACGTGTGTATGTGACGTCGTAAATGATGGATAATATTCTTTCGTTCCGCTGACGCCGTTTTTACGTGCGCATTATTCGCAGATCTCATTACGCGTCGCTTCTCTCCGCTTTTCGCCGACAACGTCTATTCACGTTTCGCGTCCCTTCTACCATCACGCTGACGTCATTATGTATTGTTTAATATAGTACCTCATATTATGTTGCGACGTCCATAAATGCTATGTAAATACGCGAAATGTCCAACTTAGCTGACGTAGCCATTGGCGTGGCATTTAATTAACTTGATATTAATAAAACCCCATTTGATTTTATACAAATAAAATCTCGCTCCGAGTAAAAACTCATCTATCGCGATATGATTATTATTTTTGTTTTTCGAATGTGAATTTCAATATATTTTTCTTCTCCTTTTCCTTATTATTAGAAATTATATTATGAATTATCTGTATCTCTCACGCGTTTTGTGAATCGCGATTGACGTGCTTTGTCTTTTTTTTGCTTCGACGAATCTGATCGTCGATTGTGATTGAAGTTTTTATACTCGCGAATATCGAGACGAAACTCGCGATAACAACCAAGCCGGATCTCGTCGCGTAAATTGGATTGGTAATTGTTATAAATCCGAAGTAAATAACCGAGACGATATGGCGACACGGGATTTCGATCTGATCGCGATTGCACATCTGTTTTCAGGGAAACGTGATTCAAAATAACGCGAAGAACGGCGTGCTGGTGCAGCCATCCAATTTGGTGCTCAGAAAGGTGAATCGGTCCCAGGCCGGAAATTACACCTGCATAGCCAGTAACGTCGAAGGCGACGGCTACAGCAATGTCGTCGAGCTTAAGATCATATGTGAGTATACTCTTGTGTTATCACGTATAGAGATAGATACGTAACCTACATAAAATATTATATATAGTATAATAATTATACATTAATATCCGCGCTCATAATAGTCGTCCCCGTAGTATAAGACCTGCGTGCAACTCGCGCGCGAATTTTGTTGAAAAAATCTCGTTTTTCAGAGACCGCAACACTTTCCGTCCGTAAATCTTTTCTTAATTTCTGACACACGTGATTCGCTCACGTGAAAAGCAACATTTCCGCTTCTTTTTCTGCGCTCTTTATAAAAATAATAAAACAACCGGTCTCGATTAAACTCGGCTTCTCGACTCTCGCAATTATTTCGTCAAAGCGCCGCTCGCAACGTCGTCGCAAATATTTCGACATAATTATATACGACGTAATTAATACGCAAACGATACGCGCAACTCACCACGTTAAATGGCGACGTCATCGAAAGACGCGTCTTCGAAAAGAAACTTGCGGAAGAATACGCTGTCTGTCTCACTTCTCTCGATAATAATTGGTCACCGGACTTACGAGACTAACGGGAATATTATTCGTTGAATAAACGTCGAATATCAAAATGTCGGCATGATTATTCATTAAAAACACGCTGGAAGGACCGGAGGAATCGTGCGAGGGAGACGCAACGGAAGAAAAATACGACGCGATCCGCGAACCAACAAATTATTCCAAACCGGCGCGAACTCCGATTCTCCCACACCTCTCCCCCTCCCTCGTTCTTCGTTTACTCGCTCTCCGCCGCGAAAAATGGGAAAACTATTCAAGCGAGCGAGCGAATATAATGCCCATCGATCTTCCCTCGAAAACCCGGAGCGGTGGTCATTCGTGTGCCGCGCCCTTCTCGCACTTTTAATAAATGCGCATAACCCTCCTCTCGAGTTTGCGCGATATCTACGTGTTGCGTACGGAATACGCAATGCATACCCCGGTTACATTTGCGAGTTCTATTCCGTAGCGAGAAAGACACGACGAAGGAGATACGTCATCGTTGTTGATTAGAGATAAGAAATAAAATATATATTAAAAATGTTCGAAAAAAAAAAGAGCTGCCTTGTCGAATTACTGAAATACGATCTCCACGTTTGTTGTTCGTGAATAAAATCTATTTATTTACGTTTTTTTTTTTCTATCTTCTGTTTTTTTTTAGACAAACCGATTTGCGTGCCGGATCAGAAACGTATCTACGGGGTGGCGAGGCACGAGGACGCTCGCGTGATATGCAAGGTCGAGGCGTATCCGGCCCCGGAGAGCTTCCGCTGGGCCTTTAACAATACCGAGGAGGATCGTCTGGTCGACGTGCCGCAAGCGCGTTACAAGAACGAGACCAAACATACTCAGAGCGTTCTCACATACAAACCGGTCTCGGAAATGGACTACGGCACCGTGTATTGCTGGGCGAGCAACACGGCCGGTCAGCAGAAGAATGCCTGCATATTTCACATCATACCTGCGAGTAAGTACACACGTATGGTGATGGTCTCTGACCTCTCTTATTCTTTATCTCTGAGTTGCTAAGAAATTTCGTCGGGAAACGAAGAAATAGCGAGGAAAACGTTTATGCGCGACGCGGAAAAAACAACGCACGGCGCGTGAAATCGTCGATTCGAATGTTTTGCTAATAATTTAATCGTTTGATAAAGAGAAGATTGGAAGAGGAAGGAGCCGTAAACAATGTTAATGGCGTGTGCAGGCAAACCGGAAGCGCCGTACAACTGCACGCTGACCAACCAGACCACCGAATCACTCTCGGTGGAATGCACCGCTGGGTTTGACGGTGGTCAGGCGCAACACTTCCTCCTTGAAGTGTTCGATCAGCATACGGGAGTCCTGCAGGCCAACGTCACGTCCAGAGATAATGCGGCTTTCACCGTACAGGGTCTGGAGCCGGGCAAGGTTCTGAATATGAAGTTGTACGCGGTGAACGCGAAAGGGAGGAGCGAGCCCACGCTGCTGGAAGGATTCACGCTCAAAGTCGCCGAGAAGCAAACCGGTAAGTTGTGCTAGAAATGTTTCGTGTTCTCTCGAAATTCGAAGGAGAGAATTAAAATTTTCTTTCTCGCTGAATCGGTTGACGAAAGAATTTACTGAATTTTGTTTTTGCTACGCCACAACAAAACATTTTCTTGAGTAAAACTAAAAACTTTCATGTAAAAAACCTGACATGTTTTTCCTCCGCTGTGTGTTCACAGAGAGTAACTAATCTCCTCTCGCTAATTAAGCAAATTTGTTTTTTTTCCCCGCGAATTTGTCGTAAAAACATTCGCCGCAATCGCGCGAAACGCAATTTTTATGTTTATTTTTAGAACAAAAATAAATTTGCGAAAAAAAAAACAAAACAAACGAACTCGTGGAATTGTTAATAAAGCAATTATCAATCAGAGCGCTTTTAAGAGCGCTTCGAAATTGATAAGGCCAAGATATTGCATGGACGTTTGCAAGCTTGACGTTTCGACTGGGGAGAGTCTAATAATGATGGACAATGTGTCCGGATCAGACAGCGGAGTCGGATCCGAACGCCTAGCGCTCGCATCGATCGCATCTCCGCACGTCGAAATAAGTAATTTGATAGGAGAGAACGCGCGCGTTCGATCGAAACTATCGGCGCATCCTATAAATTATGAGAGTGACCGTATACGATGTCGGGTTAATCGAATTAGCGAATTAAATCGAACGGGACCCGCACGCGCGGATTGTCGGTGTAACATTTTAATCCGCTCATCCGGCCCCGAATCCCCGAGTCGAACCCGATATAGGATACACCGGCACCGGTCTCGTAGTTTCGCGCAGCTAAAGAGCACTTGGACCGCGCACGAAGGGTTTCACCGCGAGAATTGAGCATCTGGGTCGAGAAATTCAATCGGCGCGCACACACGATCACCTGGGCACGGTTATTACGCAGGGTTACGTTCACGTCACGTGTGTGCGAGCGGATTGTTCTACGGTATACGGGCCGCGAGTAGTAATCCATTCCGACGTTTTCCAATCCACTTACACGAAACGGGTTTCGGCCAAAAATTGCCGGCGATTCTGGCCGTGCGTAAAGCGCGCCAGATTTTCCAACGAGAGTTCCACGCCGCGCCCCGCTCTCTTTCAGAAAATACAGGAAATGTCGATGTTGGCTCGTTTAAACCTGGCTAACCATCCGGTTTATTTTCTCCGATTCGTCTAACTTGCCGCAAAGACGATCGTGAAAGCGGGGCAAGTATTAGGAAGTTTCTCTACGCGCGCGTTTCTCTCGCACGCAAGAGACGGGGAGAAATTTCATCTCGCCCGCGAGGAGACGCGGTATAATGTTTGCGAAGCGCAAGTAGTCGTCAGAGACAGGTATATCATGAGTAATTACGAGAATTAATCCCGACGTCCATCTGCAATTACGAAAGTGGGAAAGATTTATGAGCGTAACATGAAACTTTCTGTTCCCGCGAGCGATTTAATCGCTTTCGAGGACCGTCTGCCGACACTTTGATACGCTGATAGAACACCCGTACGATTACTCGCCGTTAAAACCACGGAAAATTGATATAACTTATCTCACAAAGTCGATCGAGCCCTCTCTCTCCTCTCTCTCTCTCTCTCTCTTTCTCTCTCTTTCTCTCGTTCTCGTTAAAATTTTCCTCGCACGCTCGTGCGAAATTCGCATTCACTCAAATTTTCCCGTAAAGCCTTCGATTTCTCATTGCGCGCGTCGGCGCGCAAACACACACATGTAACCGCATATACATTCCGCTGCGGAAACAATTGCGTATATGTATATATCCCTCCGTGAAACGTTGCACCGTTGAAGGCTTGCTATGCACGTAAGAAACGCGAACACACCGCCTACCTACAGCAACGGAATTACCAACGAATCCTTGGCGGTTGAGCCCGGTCCAGATGCCCAGAGAGAGGATGGATCTCGCGTCGAATCTCTATCTCTCTTTCTCTCTCTCTCTCTCTCTCTTCCCTTTGCGGCATTCATCCCCGTAGATTTCTGGCTCGTAGGATCTCGACCGACCAGAAGAGAGAGAGATTCAGGATCTGAACCCCTCAGAACGGATATACCCCGACCTAAACGTACATATATATATATATATATATACACATGTATGTGTATGTGTGTGTATATATATCGGTCCGGGACGAATTTACAAGTGAAATTGCTCTCTCGGTCAGTTTCCACGGTGCGATTCAGGCGGGTGCGCACCCGCGCGCGAGACGTGCTGTATATATACAACGGGGTATATAAACCCGGGGAATACGTATGCGGGCGGAATAGTCGGTTCGAAAATCGATCCCCCGTGCCGCGAGCTCGACGAGTGTGAAACTTTAATAAAATTCCGGGATCAGCACCGCACACCTATACGTGTCGCCCACGTCTCGTCGTTGTCGTCGTCCTTTCCGCAATCTTGTTCGGTTACTCCGGGAGAACGAGTCGCGGAAAACGCGGAAAGGCTGCGAATTGCCCTCCCGAGTTCACACAAACACACAAACACATACATAGACACACACACACGCGCGCGCGGGACTAACTGGAGCGGGACAGAAGGAGCGCGCGCTTCCGAAATCACGGCTCGTCGTTCTCCTCCTTCGTGCTTCCGATACGCTGCGGCGTGAAACACATATTATACATGACACCCGATGCATACACGACCCGCATTGCACAGCACGCTACGCCCCGGTGAGAGTCTTTGTGCATCCTCGGGATCACGCGCCAACTCGCGCGACGTTAAACATAAAGCGAAATAGCGTGCGCGCGGGCACGCGAGCGAGGAATCTTCCGAGATTTTTAATTCGATCGATCTGAGAGAGAATTGAGAAGAGCAGAGCTCTTGCTCCAGTTTCCAGACAAAACGATCAAAGTGCGATTATCGCGACGCGATAGTTAATTTCACTTGTATCCCAACTCTCTCGGCGCAACGCGGAAACTTCCGGCGCTTGAAAATACTATACTCGGATTCTCGTTCGCAGTTTTGGGATAAAACGTTGCGGAACGCGTGGCGTATTTAAAAAGTTCGTCTTCGCGTGTCATGGAAAATAAACGGAGGCTCGCGGGAGAAAGCGCGAGTTGTTGTTGCGCGATATATACGCATCCGCCGCGCGGAGGAGTATCGTACCTACCGCGAGCTTTTTAACGCTAGAGCTTTTTCGCTAAAGCCCGATTCGCAACCGAAATGTAATTTTCGCGCGATGTTCATCACATCCTACAGGAAATTCGAGAAACAAAACGAAACGCGATCGTTGTGTAAGTAAAAGCGTAAATTTACTTAAGTTAATTTAATTACGTTAAGTTTCGCGAGGTAGTAGTAGTAGTTGTTTCCGCTTCTCCAAAAGCGAGACAGTGATAAATGATGCGCCTCGACAACGCGCTCTCTCTCTCTCTCTCTTCCTCTCGTATTAAATTATTTTTCTCTTCGTAGATTTCTATGATCCAACAAGGTTTGTCCATTATCGAAAAAAAATCGACTATCCGTGAAACATAAATGATCAACGACTCCTTTTAAATTGGCTTTGCTTGTTTTAACGTTTCAAACGTTTCCCATCAGCGCGCTCCTCGACGCTTGCGATCGCGAAGGCTTCGAGCGTAATTGCGTTGGACGGCGCCGTTATACATAAAAGATATGAGAGAAATTAAGAAAAGAGAAGGGACAAAAAAAAAAAAAAAAAAAAACAAACAAACAAACAAACAAAAATCGTCGAAATAACAGAATAGTAAAAAAAAACTCAACTAACATTAAAATAAAAAGAGGAAGAGTATAAATGAGCGAGAAAGGTAGGCGACAGGTAAATATCATGGGTGCGCGGTGCACTTTCGCCTTGATTAAAAATTAACGTGCACTTTGGCTGTGCATCGGAGCACAGAGTAAAAACACTCGGTCGCTCGTGACTAAAACGAGTGGCAATTACGAGCGATGTCTCTCTCAGGAGAGAGAACCCGGGCTAAGGAAAGAGATTAAAAAACGGACGGAGCGGAGCGATAGCGAGTTGCCGCGCGAGCGCGCAGAAGGAAAGACGACGACGACGGCGCGCGGCGGAAGACGGCCGCGTGGAAAATTAAACGTCGCCCGGGACGATGTTTAAACGCGGAGAGATATCAAAAGGATTCGAATTCATTAATCTTAGAAATGGGTAAGGCGCTACGTAGTCAGATGGCTCCATTCTCGCGCGCCCCGGCCAAATATCTCGAATCTCTTTACAGCGTAAATGCGACTTTAACTCGTTTAACCCGTTTACCCTCGCAGTCCGTCCGGAAAATTGTTCCGTCGCTACTTTTTCCGCGAATCGCTGCTGCGTAGTTTGTCACTTTCGCGCGGGAATTGTATATTCGCGTATAATATTAACTCTTTACCGAGAAAGATTAATAATATTGATATTTGATATACACGCTTTCGCGGTGTGTTGTATTACAATATAATTTGAAGATGTTTTTCGGGTTCGAACCGCGTTAGTGTCATTTTTAATACCGACGTCTCGTGAACATTTCAGCTCACTTCATCAGGATTTCAAGAGCAGCCTGATACTGTATTGGAAAAACATCAACTTCAAATATTAATAATAATATTAATTATGCTTTTATTTGTCTGTGTCTATTAATCTTACGTCACGTTTGGCTTGAAGCTTTTTCAAAACCTTCTTTTTTAATATCATCACGTGAAAACTCTGGTGTCGACGTCCCTTGCACGAGAGCAGTGCGCGTTTTGTTCACAGGTACTCCGGTACCCTTCGAGTTCACCCCTTTGCTGGGGGGTCTGATCGGCGTGGTCGCCGCACTTTTGCTCGTCACCGTCACCATTCTAGCCGCGCTGAAGGTGAGGAGCGACAGACGAGCACAAAGACCAGGCGATTTACCTCTGAAGAAGGCCACCGCACCAAGCTCAGAGGATCTCTACGACGCGGACGACAGAAATCCGGACGTTGTACCGACCAATAAAGGTGCGTTTTTTTACAAAAAAAAAATAACAATAAATTACATATATGACGTAAAAGAATAATAAATAAAAAACCCAAATAAAACGTTAACACGCGCGGCGGTATATATATTTATTTAAAATGCACATGAAAAAGGTAAATCGTTACACGGGACGAATTTATCCCACTTGCCAGTTTTATTGCCGAATTGTTTAATGTTTGTGCCGATATACGCGCGACAAGCCTGGCGCGGAAAATATGTAAATAAAAAAATCGGAAATGTGCGTATCCGCGACTGTGCGCAAAAGCGCACGGTTGGGAAAATCCGGACAATGCACGGACAATGAAATTATTTGACCGCGTAAATCGCACGCTGTAACACGACCAACGTGTAACAACGCCGCCACGCACGGCGATGAATAACGCGTAAGCACATCAATATCTCGATTGACACGCGATTCCGTGTTCTGAAACTTTCAAATTGATGTTCTTTACGTTCTGTAGAGACTATAAGAGAGCGAGATGCAACGAGCGCTTTTGCTGCGACGGCCGATTTTGAGCGGCAGCTAGAGAAACGTCTATTCACACGCCGCAAACGAGCTCCATTGCTTTACTTCAACTACAAATTTAGATTCACGTCGTCTCGCAGTTTAAAATTCGCAAAATCGCAATCGATGAATAAAGACGCAAAATGAAATACCAAAAGTGAAAATTTTCTTTCACATATCTTGTTGATAGAAAAAAAAACCGATAAGTATTATGTAACCTTGCCGCGATAAAGTTTTCTTCTCTCTGTACAGTACTATAAATATTTACTTACTCTCATAAAATAAACAAAAGAGTGTCCGAGCGTGTCACACTTTTCTCTACGCTTTGGTAAATTTACTTTATCCAGGTTTCCAATTTGGTTCGTAATTTAAAAGGATCGACCGTGCCGAAACGAGTTTCGCTATTCATTTAATCCAGTTCCGTTGTACAGATATATACATAAATGTTTGATTCGGTTTTGTTTCTAAAATTTAACTCGCGGTGTCCTTAAATTTCGCGCAATTTTGTCGATTTTCCATAAAGATATATTTAGACACTTATTCGGTAAACGCGCGCGCGTAATTTAATTCCAACAATATTAAGTCACATATAAAAAAGCATATTTTACTCTCGAATCTCAATTATATTGCACGTAAATTAAAAAAAAAAAAAAGAAGAACAAATAGAAAAAGAGAAAGAGAGAGAGAGAAAAAAATACATTTAACGTTAATATTCCGAGAGTTGGACAATCGACATGGAAATTTTATCGGTTACATTGCTGCTGGCTTTCAAGCGTAATACCTGAATGACAGCAATCGAGAACACTTGGACAAGTGTATGTACTCGAGACCGGAAATTCAGCGGACTTTATTGCGAACGCGCGCGCGCTGCGCGATTCGTTAACGGCGTCGCCGCGCTACGCTACGCTACCGCTATGCTATACGTCATTACGTCGCTCGCAATAATACCACCGGATCGGCAAACGCGGTCGAGTATATATACAGCCGGTAACCATAGAACTTAACCTCTGACTTGTTAATAAATTACTCGACCGATTACAAGGTAGACTTGTTCACCGAGCTCGCGCGCTTATGCGAATCCGATATATGTAATATTCGCCGATCACGTCCGATCAGCTTTCATAATCCTAATTACGTGATTACCACTTTATTAAAGTGAGTCGTTACCTTTATTAAAGTAAGTCGATTTCTTTTCTTTTTTTTTAACGGAAACTCGTCATTTATTTATTTTTTTAATAATCGAGTTTTGTTGACTCGAATCCGCAATGCGCCGCAATTTGTCAATTGAACGAAATATAAGGGATGTTAACTTAATGAATAGAATTAATTCAAACGCGATATTACTTAGTTAATTATTTAATCGCGATCGAAACTATATATATTTGACGCGATATATAGATGCAATTTACTATTTAATTAACATATCACATTAGCATAGTGTTTCTCGGGGAATTAAGCCACGTATCGATACGTTGGTAACGCTTTGTAGTTATTGGATTAGGTTAGGTCTATATAGTTATTAGGTTATTACGATAAAGTTCAATGCGTCATCACGATGTGAATTAATGATAAATTCGGTTGGTTAATATCATAAACAAACAGATTATACCTATCGCGCACATGAGTGTTTCTTTCGACGATTAATGCGATTAACACGGCGCATAATAAATTTTCACATCCGCGTGGCGCTTCGCGCGATGTGTCTAATTGTATTTTTTAATAAAAAAAAAAAAAAAAACAACAGCTTTGCAATCTGCAAGACATTTTGTAACTGTGTGTACAGAATATTTATCATGGCGCGCGCGTAAAGAAGCGAAATTTATTGTTTTTACGTAAAACACTGTTTAGTTTTGTTCGATAAATGTCTCACTCGTTAGTTATTACAACGTTATTTGATGAAATTCACGCACATTTCGTTCTGTTTCGCTATAAACGATAATTATTATAGAACGTTTGAAAAGAAAAAAAAAAAACACGAGCGTAGACTCCGGAAAAAGTTGATGTTCGATAAAATATTTTTTGTCGCAAAGCAGGATGACAAAATTTTTCATGTGCTTGAAACGAAAAGATTCAGATTATCAACTGACCGGCTCGACTTCCGGCACGCCGTTAGCAACGCAAAACACACCGGATGGTCTTCCACCGTCGTCCCTTCCGGCCCAGCAGACGAATAATCACCTGCAAGGACTTCCCGCCTATTCGCATAACGACTACACCAATTATCCAACCTTGCCGGTAAGTACAAACTGTTGGCCGCCCCCCCCCCCGCGCGCAACGGAAGTTGTTCTCTAAATGAAATTTGATAATTTTCGCGAATACCCGTGTATTTGCGATAGAAACGAAACACGTTGCTGATTCTTCTCTTCCTCCGCGACCACTCCCACGTGTGATCTCCCCGAAAAATTTGCGCTTAAAAAAACTATTACAGAGATAAAACATACAAACGACGATACGCGCGCATTAATAAATCAAGTTTTACGCGAACCTCGTAGATAATACGAGGGTATATAATTGTATGTATTATACAATATATATATGTGAAATAGGTGCGCGGTAAATAATCGTCGCGCGTATGCAAACGCCCAGTTCCCCAGCAAACTAACGATTCCCTTTAGATTTCGTGTTAAATTACGCTTTGTTGTACCATTCAGCGCACCGGTGTGCCATGTAGTTGGCATAGCCATTACATGTAAATGGATGTTCTGATTTCAAGAGACGGAAGTGAATGCAGTAACGTGCCCGCTGCTTTGCAGAGAGGAGAGAGTAAGCGAAAGAGAGAGAGAGAGAGAGAGAGAGAGAGAAAAGGAGAAAGAGAGAGAGAGAGGAAACCTTAAACAATTAAAGTCGATGGTTTAAATCACGAGAATTTCGTTAATCCGGACGAGCGAGGTGAACTTTAATAAAGTTAATAGGTTTCGGTCCCGATGAGATGGGAAACTGAGGAAGTGGAGTGCAAAGAAACGGAAGAAACGAAGCAGTACGGCCGAATCGCGCCGTTGTCGTACTGTCGCGCCATTCCCTTTTCCCGTCGTCGTTCGAGCTGCGCGAAAAGCTTCGGCCAACGTTTTCAAGAAAGTCCTCCCTCTCTCTCCAGCGGTATAGTTTGAAATAACAGTATCCATCTGAGAGGATGGCGCTGCGTAAAGTTTCGAACCGGAAAGCAGCGCTCCCCAACCAGTTCTCGAAACTGAACAGAAAATTGCACCATCCACCCACGTTTCTTCGCGATTTTTAGAAACACTCTGAGGTCGTGAACACATTCGATCTACCACCAAGATACACAGACCACTTTCCGGAATAAAAAAAATTCTTCTACAAAATATACCACGAGAAATATACAATTCTCTGTAAAACAAAACAAAAAAAAACATTCGGGGCGTTTATTACGTAGCCGGGAGTAATAATTTTAAATTTACGTTTATAATTCAACAACAAACGGTCGAGATCGTTAAAACCTCTCGTGTTTTCGCGCGCGTTCCCTCTTTCGAATTTTCTCTAACCTACCTACCTACCTACCCGGAGTAGTAGAGAGTACCTTTCGTCACGATTCGCTGGAACTTCACCCTCAATTTCACACCAAATTAATTGCTAATTACCGCGGGGATCTAAAGTTCTGTTAGTAAAGAGGAACAAACTCCAGAGTGGAAAACTTTGATTATCGCTAAAGATTTTCGTATTCCATTTCCTCTCAGTTTAATTGTTGTTGCTTTTTTTTTCCCCCTTATCATTTTTAACCGATATTCCACCGCAGTGGATTTGGAAATGGTTTCAGCACCGCTTGAAACAAAAAAAAAAAAAAAAACAAAAAAAAACAAAGAAAAAGCAAACGCGATCTCCAACTTGAAACTATATAAATTTGACAAATTGTGACAAAACTGTAAATAATTTGATAGCTCAAAATGCAGTCTGTTTGGCATCTTGAAAATTCAAGAAACTCGCCTCTCTCTCTCTCTCTCTCTCTTTCCTTTCATTAATCCTTTACGCGATAAAATCCGATAAACTACTTCGCTCTACGCGGAACAACTTCGTCCGCGTCGCGCCTCGTCTCCGTGTTTCATCGCGAGGGAACATTCTCCGCGCTATTTTGCGTCCAATTTATAGGAAATGGCGTCGGGCACTCGAGGCACTTTTCCGTCCTAAACAGTCGAAGGAACTCCCGCCGTCAAAAGTTTCTTCCCGTGATACGAGCCAACTAGTTCGGGCGGTCTCGTAGGAATATTCAGGAATGAAAATTCCGAAAGTTAGACCTGTCCGCATTATCTAAGTCCTCGGGAAAACGCGCTACGAAAACTCTCCTAGTTTCTTAAGAACGCTTTTGGCCCTATCACGGAAAGTTGGCTCGCGGCGGATTATTTAAATGGCCGGCCGCACGCGTCGCATGTACTATTACAGTTGGTCGGGGGGGCATTTACTTTGGCGGATTACGCGCCGTGCGCGCGCATATCTATAATTCAGCGTTAATGTATTGAAATTGGCTTAATATCCTGTTCCCCGTATCATTAGACATCCGTGCGGACTTGTTGCGTAATACAATCGAGTGCCGATTCCGATCGATCAAAACAGGTATACACGCGCACGCTGAAACCTTTAATCGGATTCAAGTCTCACGTACAACACAACGATCATCATCATGCGACTGAATGAATCTCGTTCAACTGGAGTTCGGCATAAAAGTGTCTTAAGCTAACCGTTAGAGCGGCTGTCTTCGCAATTGAAAACCTGAAGTTTCAAAAACATCACCGTCGTCGTAACGACCATCGTTGCAGTTTTTACTCAAAAGAAAAAAAAAAGAGTAGGATACCTAATACAATATTTCTTTTGCAACAACGGCTTCCTTCGTTCCTTACGTTCAAACAGTTTTTGTGTAGCGCGTTTTAATTTCTTTTTTCCAGCTGTCGGGCGAGGTAACGTACGCCGAGTTGTGCCTGGCGAGGCCCACCACCCTGTCCACTCTAGCGACCGACGCCAAACTGGCGAGTCTAAGCGGCGGTAGCCTGGGTGGTCTTCAGAGCTACGGCAGCGGTCTCGGGGTGATCGTGGGCGGCAAGCCGTATACGAAAGAAGCCACGGTCTACGCGTGCATCGACCACAACGCCAGACCGCCCAAAGTGGACGTCTCCAACGCGCCATCGTGCGCGTCCACCCCGCTGTCCACGGTTAACATGCAGGACTCCACCATCTCCACCGTCACGAGCGGCAAGCATCACCCGGCGAGAGAGGTCGTCACCGTCCGCACGCCCCTTATCTCGACCCAGGAGAGCTGCGTATAGGGACGCGATTCCGACGCGCTCAACGTCAACGAGTACTACGTCTGATATGGCCGCCGACTCGTGGCGATCGTGCGCGTCCTCATAAATCGATCCTTACCCGATTCCTGGACTCGTTGTTACTCTCCTCCTCTGATAACGCTCCCTCGGATTGTCGCGGAAAAATAAAGGTGCACCTATTACCTAATTATGTGAGTTGACGATGTGAGCTTCGTTCGTACACGCGAGGCAATAAAGCGAGATCGTCTCTTTTAAAGAAGGAACGAACTTCCGCCGAACCGACGAGCACCGTCGATCGACAAGTGGTGACAAGTGTCCTGTAATAAGGGACAAAACTTCTTGATTGTGACAGACGAGACGTCGCACAACGAGGAAGAGAACGATCGGGCTACGCTTTGGTAAAGAATAAATAAAGTATTGTAAAGAATGTATGTAAAATGAAGAGAAGTTTTACAAGTTCTTTGATGAATTTGCAAACTAGACGTGTAAGTAAGTTCTTTGTCGGGATAATTGAGATAAATGTGTTATAAAATTCAAAAACTTTTCTCTGTCGCAAGTAAATCCGAGGAATATCACAGAAGATTCCAATATCGAGATATCGTACACGTACAATAAACGGATTCTTTCGGTATACGACATTCCATTGTGTTCCGAATACATGCCAAAACTTGATATCCTCTATGAAATTTCTATAAAGCCATGTCGTATAATAAAATCCAAAAGGAAATATCAGGATAAAATCGCACTGCCCAATTTTCGAAAATCCGAAGATCGCTTTTTCATCGGCGAAGCAACGGTGAAAGCGCAATCGAAAATATTTAACGGAAATGAGCTCTCTCGACGAAATTGAAGACCAAAAATTGTTTTCTCGAACCAAAAGTTTTTAAAAACAATTTCTTCTATCCGAGAAAATCGCGCATTCGCAAGGAATTGATTTTATTCTGACAAAAATTGTGGTTTTTTGGGCTTTTTTTTAACACGTTATTGAATATTTCTCTAAAAGAGAAAACGTATCATCATCCTCTCCTTTCGATTGTTCCAATTTAAAATGTAGGTTTATAAAAAAAAAAAAAAAAAAAAAAATTTACCGAATATTCAGTCACGGTAAAGATCTCCATCAATTGACGGAATAGTCGATGGGGCGGAAAGAAAAACGTGTCCAAAATCTAGGTTTTTGCAATTTCGCAGATGTTCGAGAGGCAAGATTGATGTACCTATGTCTCGCAACGTCGAATGTAGATTTTCTATCCCGAGAGTATACTTTGTATTACAAAGCAGGTATGGGAGGATAAGGAAGATCGTCGCGTTGAGTGTATTTTCGTAGAATGGCGCGTCTTTATCGACGGTATGCTTCTTCTCTTCTCACTCTATCTTCTCTCTTTCTCTCTCTCCTCTCTCTCTCTCTTTCTCTCTCACTCTCTCTTTCTCTCGGAATATCGTATCATGTCGATTACGTCGCGAGCAAGTGCAACGATAAATTTCGAAGAGCGTACAGGATCCGCGTCGGAGAAGATCGACTTGTTCCGCGAAAATCCTCAAAATATTTTCGCGCTGGCAGTTGCGACGCGAAACAAGTGCGCCTGTGTAAACCTGCGCGCCGGCAAACATTACGAAAATCCGACGTGAGGATTTCTTCCAACGTCAGACACGTTCTCTTCTCGCTCTTTCGCCGATTTTGTTTTTTTTTTCTTTTCCGTCGGAAGATACCGATCGCAAGTATTTTATGGACCATCCGCTTTTCGTATCGTCCTCGATACTTCTCGCGTGACTGAAACGCACATCCTTGTCGACCAATAAAATATCCACCTTGCGCGCGCAACGCATCGGTTTAATTGTCAAGAAAATAATTAAATAATTAATCAGACCGCTCGGAGCGATCGATCGATCTCTCGCCAAAAAGGTATGCATGTGAGGGGTTTGTGTGTGTGTGTGTGTGTGCGTGCATGTTACAGTCGAATTTTCAACTGTGTCACGTCGAGATGCGAGCTAATTAATTAAATCTCGGTGTGCGCCGATGTTTTATTTCAACTTATTTACAGTACACCGCACACACCGCGGAAACTTGCAAGGTAAGAGTAAATTTGCTGACTAAAATAAGCGCCGCAGTATCGATCTTCTCCGTCGCGCGGTCTAAAGCCGTTCTTTATCCTTTCGTCATCACGTTTCTCTCTCTCTTTCTCTCTCTCTCTCTTTCTCTCTCTCTCTCTCTCTCTCTCTCTCTCTCTCTCTCTCTCTCTCNTCTCTCTCTCTCTCTCTCTCTCTCTCTCTCTCTCTCTCTTTCTCTCTCAAGTCTATTTACACGACTTTTTCCTAACTAAACGCGCGAATGCGGGAACGAAATAATACTCGCGTTCGTGAGATGGAATCCGCGAAAAAAAATTTCACAGAGAGATTGAATTTTCATAAATAACCGGGGAGACCGTTTTTTCTTCGAGATGACACCTGACATACATCCTCATAAAACACTTGTAAATAACGAATTCGCCTCGAGAACGAGGACACGGAATAAACGTAGACTAATTTATCGAAATTACCGTGTGCGTTGATGAAAGAGCCTACCGCGCTCCGAAAAGAAAAATAATATGTATATTAATTCTAATTAAACAAAAATGAAAAAGAAAAAAAGAAAAAAAAAACGTACCTTGTACACTGCGCATCGTTCGACGTGCATCTCTCGATGTGTTATACCCGATGATTATATTCAGTTCAAGAAAGATCTTGTGCGACGGGATCGTCCTTCGTGCCGCGAACAAAAAGACAATAACGTTGCAGAGAATTGTTGAATTAAAATCGGCTCGCGAACGATTTGTTATATACGCGTCTGTATCGAGAAATTGAGTTTCTTTCGAATATTTTCTAAAATCTCTCTATTTTCTTTCAATTAAATTATCCGAGTTTTATACTCAACGGAGAATTAAAATCGTCTCGATATATCGGAAATCAAGTTCGCACAGTTTCCGAAAGAACGCTTGCAAAAGTCATCATTTTCAAATATTGTAATAATGTTGGAAATTTTGCGGATAAAAAATGTGTTTGAAAATAATTTACTGCTTTAACACACGAGCGATATTTTCACTTAATTTATATCAGAGTCGCGCTCGTGTGGATGCAACAAACGCGATATATAATTCATCGTTTAGCGACCGATTTATCTTCACTTTCCGTCGATCCCTAAACGAACAGACTAACGTGACGCGCGTTATTTTACGACGAAATCTTGCGGACATAACCCGTGTGTGTCCTACCGACTGCCAAAACGCGCACAACCCCCCGACTGTCATGTCGCATTCATTTTCATTAAGTTCGTCGTCGAAATAACGAAGAGCGATCGAGAAGTACCTTTCGGCGCGTCGCCGTACGTTGTGCACCGTACAAATGTACGCGCGTGTACACATCTTAGATATATATATATATATATATTATATATATAAAAATATATATATGAATCGGTCCTCGTCGCGTTTACGCAGCGGAGAGACGGAGTGTAAATACCTTTGTATATAAGAAAACATCGAGAAAAGAGAGACTATTTGTGCGAGATATGCCCGAGGTTAAAACCCCCTACGTCTTCTTTGAGGGGAGAGAACAGGCACGAAGGATCGTTATCGACGGATCCGTTAACGACATTACGAGGTACGTTCGCAGGGAAATCGCATTGAGCTCTGGTTGTGTTGAAACGGAAAGGGAGAGAGATAAATGAGCGAGCAATCTTCTTCCTTTCAGGCGCAACTGCTTCCCAAATTCGCGGATTTCGCACGAGGCGTTTATTCGTCGGTTTCTTTTCAAATTTTTTGCGACAAAAAACCCGGCTCCGGGATATTATAATTTTATTGAATGAGAGATTTTGTGAATGTGTTTTTCTCTCTCTCTCTTTTTTTTTTTTTTTTTTTTTTTTTTTTTTTGTGTTGCGTGTTAACGTACGGAGTAATTCGTTGTATTGAATCCCGTCCTCGTCCGTTACGGCCGACGCGAAAAGAAAGTCGACGGTGACGAGCGTTCCTTCGTGTGTAACGCCCCTACGTAATTTGTAAGATATATGCTCCGTTGTACAGCGCCGAGATATTTTTTCAGAGTGTGCGTAATACAATACCTCCGCGTATATCGTGAACTCTCGGGGCAGAGCCCAATTAGGCGAAACCCCATTTGCAGAGAGGGCGGAACTGTATAATTAAACGATTGGATTGCGATTAATGGTCAGACAAAGAAATAAAGATATATGTATATGTACGTGTACGTATGTGTGCGCGTGTGCGTGTCCGTGTGTGTTGCGAGCGCAAACATTGTGAATCTATCTTTTACCATGTGCGACTGTGGTAGTTATGATCGAGAGAGGATTAAGAATAATAGAGAAGAGAGAGATATATGTGTGTGTGTAAACACGCGCGTTATTATTGGTATCTTCTCTTTTTTTTTTTTTTTTTTATATTGTATAAAAACGAGAAACAATTGACTTTCTTTCTCTCTTCTCGCATATTTCGATTTGTTTTTTGCCTAAAAAAAAATATCTTACCAACAACAGTCGTTATCAAGATACTAATTCACATTCGAGTCGTTTTTTCTCAGGTATCTCTGGCTCGCGCTTTTCCTTCCATTGTAGTTTAGAATATTGCAGTTATTTCGCTATCAAGGGATTTTCAAAGAATTCACGAAAGGGTTGAGAGATGAGACGATTCTTTTTCTTTCGCGTCCGCCGGCGTCCGAACGAGAGAAAAGCAGACGAAGAAAAGAAAAATTATACCCCCCGAGTACTCCAATTGGATCTTTATATATTGCATCGATTTTCTTTCTTGCGATTCTAGAACGAGAGAGGGGGAAGGAGGGTATCCACTGTGCCTCGATTGTTCCTATCTTTTGTATCCCGCTCTTGCGCCTTAAACGTGTAATCTTCCATTTTTACGTACAACAATACCAACTTAATTATCGACTTCTGTCGCAAAAGAAAAAAACTGACTACAATATTGAAGAAAAAAAAAAAAAATTAAACACCCGATCGCACAATAACGCCCGGAAATTCGACAGAAATAATAATAATGACACGTATGATGCGCCCGATAGCTGCAGTGCGGCGTATCTCATCGCGCGCGTACACAAAAGATTCTCGATTGGCGAAGTACTTCCGGTTTTTGCAGGTATTTTAAGCACGCTCTCTCCGTTAACGATCTCGCGCGCGCGCGCTCCCAGTTTCTCCTCCCGCCATCCTAAATTCTCGCTTCTCGCATGCTGCAATACATTCCACGTTTCCTGTCAAATACCACCGGCACGTGTGAATGCGGCTCGTTTTGCCGCCGCGAAAATTCTGACGGTAATAAAGAAACGATGGCTGCGAGTTTCGCGACTCCCCCCGATTCCCCCCGCCCCGTTTTCGCGCGTTCGTGCGCGGAATGACGCGCGGAATGAGCAGTTACAGGCTGATACGTGTCAGCGCGGTCTTGCGCACCGACCAGTCCTAGGTACGTTGTTTGAGCACTTCGCCGAGTGTGCTAAATTCGCTCGCGACGTACGTTGTTGTATACGTCAGCGAATGAAATCAATAATAAAAGCGAGAATCGCGCGACGACGGAGAGATTGTATGCGCTCGCCGTGAAAACAACCGTGAGCGTTTGTTATTATATGTTTCACTTTAGATAATTGACAACTTTTTATTCCTTCATCTCGCGTGTTTGCGGAATATATTACACTTGATGCGCGAGAGAAACTCGCAAATAAATAGCCGGGAATTAATTACTCGCTGTATATATAAATCCGAAGACTCAATCCAGTAGAAAAAAAAATAAATAAAAAAAAAAAACACGTTTTTTTCTTTCGATCGATCAAAGCAACGACTCGCAATCGAGGAGCAAGAGCGCGCGAAAAAGCAGTTCGCGCGAAATTTCGCAAATAAGAACCGGCTAAATCGCTCGTACGGACAAGGGGGGGCTCATCCCCTGTTTTGCCAGCACAGTCTCCGTTGTGCGCTTTGTGGCGTGGTGCATGCGCTCCCCGTGTGTGAGGCCTAGAGAGGCCTCGGGGGCTTCCAAAGGTGACCATCAGACGCGAGCGCCGCGTGCCAGTGTTTCAAAAGAAACTGCTCCTCCTCTCCACACATGAAATCTGCGCGTCTGACGGCTTATCGAATCTGAAAGTCAATTCCCCGCCGCGACGCCTCGCCCGGGACTCTTTCACGCGGCGCGAATCTATTAGCTTGTACCGGAAGCATCAAAAGGTCTAAAAAAAAAAAAAAGCATCAAAAGTCTTTTTGCAACGGAATATTCATCGGCCCGTATCACCGCCCGCGAAAAACCCGCCGCACAAATCCCCAACTTCCCGGCATATTTCGTAATCCATCCATCCGTCCCCCACAGCACGGATATATTCCCGATATGCTTTCTCTTGAATATCTATCGGATATCGAAGTGTATCACCGCACAATGTCCGGATATCTCGAAATGAACATTAATTGGCCATTACGTTCGGAGCAACGCGCGAAAATGCTTCTGTGCCAATTTTCCGGTGTCAACTCGCCTCTCGTTCGGTCGGCCGTCTCGGATTTTCATCCGGTTCATTCCGTTGTTCCGTTTACACAAATTTTATACCGTGTATGTACAAAAGAAATTGGAGTCGCGATACGCGATTATCTAATTGTCGATGAGAAACTGAAGAACAAAAGCCGAGTGTCAATTGCGCGCCAAAATAAACTAACTGACGGATTATTGATGTGCCGAATTAACGAAACACGTCGCCGCAACATCTCACCTTTCATCCGATGTTATTTTTGGCGCTTAACTGATATTCGACGTCCGGTTTTTGATTGAAAAAAAAAAAAAAAAAAAAAAAAAAACCGCGATCTTTTCTACGCAAACGAAATAGATCGCAGAGAGCACGGCGAGTCGCGCGCGTCTACGTTGAGAATTGTGTATATAATAATCTTCTGGTCGAATAAAACGTGCGCATATTCTCGTTTGTACATTTTTCTGTGAAATAATGGTCCACGTGTCTGTGTGTGTGTGTGTGTGTGTGTGTGTGCATATGCGTGCGAAAGTTACGTGAGATTTCACCTGGCGAGTCTGAGAAACGCAAGCGTGTCAAAAAAAAAACTAAAGTTGCGACGACCATACCTACGTGTATCTACAATAATTATAGATCTCTCTCTATAAATACTATACACACCTCAACGTAATCAGAATAAACGTGTTGATATGAAAAATGACGACATGAAAGCCTGTCGATCGTTGAGTGACTTTAAAAAAAAAAAA